TTAATTGTTTTTCACATCATAAAAGTTGAATATTTCATGTACTATTAGAACAATGTAACTCGTATTAATTTAAACGGGCACGCTGAGTGACGTCACTCCCGCCATGTTTTCTGATTGGTTGAGAGTTACCAGACAACCTCTCTATTCTACAGACCTTGACGTACATAGACGCGGTTTTCGCTTGTGTGCGTGTCTCCACCACTACTGCTCTCAGTGCTTGGAAGATCTACTTATCGACAGTGAAGTGGATGTATCACGGATTCAAACCGAATAAAAGTGGATCTAGCACAAACTCTAACCGAGGTACATTTTTACCGTCTGCGCTTGAAAGTGAAACTCAGTCTGAAGTACGAGATCCACTTTTTGTGGATCTCGGCGCTGAAACCAGCGACTCGAAACCGTCGTAAAAAACTACAATGGGATAGCCGCTCTCAGGCTTCTCTCTGCTATTAGCATTGAAACTCACTAAAACATTGACAACGTTTACACGCACTGGTAAAAACGTTTTAGCAAAAACCGGTTTAGCAAATCCTGTTCTATAGTGCCTGTTTACACGATCAGGCGTATTTTACTTCCACCAAGAAAAAAGTAGCTTTATTAAACCCGAACAAAATCTATTGTCAACATAAAAGGATTTGGCGCTTAAAACTGTTTGTTGTAGAACATTCCGTAACTGGTAACAGATAGAAGAAGTTACGTTTTGCGATTGTGAAATTTACAAAAATGGAAATTATTAACAACTTGTTTAAAGTATATTTTGTTTGCATCTGTTTGTGGGTTTTCATATATCCTTTTTCGTACTTTTCCAGCAATTTGAATATTTCGTTCCTTCGAAATTTTTTTCTATCCAAACATTTCATCATTTTTCGCTCTCTCATTAAATTGAAGAAAAATCGTGTTTCTTCATTTTCCCATTGATCTCGTTTTTTACAGAATAATCCATTATCCTTAGAATAATCCATTTTGAAGCGATGCTGTATGAAATCGATATTTCGTCAGATTCCATATCTTTTGTTCAGTCGGCGTCAATGAATCGTTTCGTGGACGCGGAGAGCTAGGGATAAGAGGGACGGTATTCCCTAGCAGTAAATACTGTAATTGGTCAATTCATCGAAATCTGCTACAGTTAGTTAGGCCTGTTCTACAATACAGTCGTAAGCCGTAAGTCGTAAGAAATTGACCAATCACAGACAAATTACAGAAGAAATAATCGATTGTGATTGGTCAATATCTTACGACTTACGGCTTACGACTGTATTGTAGAACAGGCCTTAGTGCGGCGCCCGTTAGCAGTATTTCTAGGGAATACCGTCTCTCTTACCCCTAGCTCCCGGGGCTACAAAACGATTCATTGACGCCGACTGTATTTTCTTACATATGTCTAAAGTTGGTAATATCACATTTTGATACGTTAAAACCATTGAAGACCGTTTACACGTCTTTCTTAAAACGGTTTAATAACGCCAAACCTCTTTTAGAAGAGGTTTGACTTTACTAAAACGGTTTTCATAACATCAGTCGTTGCTTTCCAGCAAGAAACACAGACGACACGAAGTCACGCAATGTTTAACAAGTGCTTTCCAACAACGACACAGCTCGACACAACTGTACACACCCGAAGAGTACAGTCAAGCACAGTGTGTCGAATGCAATACTGCCAATTTATTGAGAGAATTCAGATTAAAATTGGCAGCATTTTGTTTTTTAAGTTCCCGCCTCGAGTTACGTATAAGATTATGTATGATATAAACGTGCCATTTTCTTTAGTTTTAACTGTTTATGCTATATAAAAAAATGTTTTAGTGTAAACATTGTTGTGATACGATTTATTCTTTTGACGACACTTCAAACTATCCTTGTTTTATCGAAAAAATGGTATATTTAGAAGAAAATAATATTTTATTTGCAACGGAAGATGCAGGTGATAAATAATCTAAATTGAATAAATTCTATTGTTACTTTTTTTAATACCCCAAAATCTATGTAGTATTGCAAACATATATTTATCTTGGGATACATCGGTTTATTCTCAAATGTTCTTTAAATTCTTGATCAAACCAACAAATAATAATTTGCAGATCTTCAAATCTTTGATGCGATGTTTTCTTTGACTACCTGTTAATTTCATCAATGAAAATAATAATCTTCATCCTAACTGCTTGAAATAATTATATCTTCTGTACTACTACTTGATTTACTTAACTTTTTATCATTATTACTACTATTACTTGAAGAAGAACTGTTAATTATTACACATTTGATTTTTTCACTAAATAAAAAATAAATGTTATCGTTATTTATCCAAAAAATTTAAATTAATTTGTAGACAAGACATTTATTACATTTTATTACATTTTTATTTAATTNATGTTATTTAACGTCAAATAAAACGTAAAATGGTTATAAATTATATTTACTATTTTCTATTTTTATTTGTTTTCTCTTATACATACAAATATATATTTTTGTATTTTCTAAATATTTAAAATTAAATTTAAGTAAAATTTAAGTAATTGTATTATGTCATGTGTTAAAAAGAAGCTAATGAGCTGACTTGAAATATAATTTAGTAAATTTGTATATAAAACGCGATCTATCGACTTCACTAAGAATTAAATGATGTTCTAACAAGCAGCTTTACACAGCTCTTCTGTGCTTGACACTGTGTTTGTTTGTGTCTTTTTTTTTTTTTTTTTTTTTTTTTTTTTTTTTTTTTTTTTTTTTTTTT